GACGTCGGCAATGTTTTAATCTGCATTTATGATAAAGGATGAATCAAACTTACAATGACATTCCAGAGTTTTATTTTGATATTTTTATTTTACTACCTGACCAGCTTACGGAAAACATTATATAGAAAGCAGCATGGATACTGTCCTGGGCCTTCACTTTTTAAGTGTTTCTCCATTTGACCAGGATCGATTCAAAAATATATTCTAATCTCAAATCGAAGGTAAAACCAAGTAATTTGAGCTAAAAATTAACTTTTATACGATATAAAATATCGTATTTTTATTTCTCACATTTATAAAAGTAAAACGCTACCATATGTTGCTCTGTTTGTTGAAGGTGACTTGGTTATCAAAAATTCTTCCTGAAAAGTGTCTGAAAAAGAAGAGACCACAGCGATGTAATTTTAAGATTATGAATCTTAGAACAGCGACTTATACCACAATTCAGGACTTGTTGATGTATACGAAAAGTGACTCTGAACTTTAAAAAATACGTTAAAATCATAACATTTCGGTTTGTTTTTCAATGCATCGTACTATATAATTATTATAATAATTGGTGTATCTGTACATCCCAGAATGTGATGACAAGACAGTTCATCGCAGTCACATTCCCTCTGACAACTTTGTCCAAAACCAGATATCGACAGAGTAAATGAACAATAGTCACCAAAAAATCCAGTGTCACATTCTTAAAAATTTTAATTTTGATTTATTCAATTGAAATTAAAAAGAACATATTTATCATTCAAGCGAATTCAACTTGTACGAGTTTATTGTGATAAGCCATGTAAATTAAATTTTATTTTTGATGGATTCTATTCATTTTACTTTCAAAATCTACTGAAAAATGAAAACATTTTGAAGCGCACAAAGTCCTAAAAAGAGAACGGTTTTACTCACCGGTGCATATCTTGAGTCTATCATTCCAAACATTGCAACAATCCGTCGGACCACTAACAAAAAAATTATCAAAAAGTAGTTTAAATATTTATTTTCTGAACAAGAAGTTTAATTATGAGAGAGAGAGAGAGAGAGAGAGAGAGAGAGAGAGCTTGCTTATACTCTGTTCTTCACTAGATACAATTTATGCAATTATTTATTCATAAGATATCATTCAAGGCATGCAGGTTTATATCTAACTTCAACAATTCTTATATAAATCGCATTCAATCAATACACCATTCAATTGATTGATTCGTTCTGAAGTACTTTCTTTATTGAAAATGACTATATATCCAAACATTTCCCTTGAAAATGTAAAAGTTCTTAATTTCTGTTTCCTGTTGACAGCTAAACCCTTTCTTATGTGTATATCCTCAAATAGAAATATTTTTATCCGAGTTCTGTATGATTAATAAGCATAGATGAATTTACACTTATCATGCATAAATTTCAAGTATATCATTATTTGTCGATTCATAAACCCAAGGTCTTCAAAAAATTATTTTCATCAAGAAATGAGTTATTTTATCTTAATTATATATCTGGCACAGAATCCTATCAAACGATGTGCAGGTTGGCAGAGTAATAAATGTATAACCTTTTCTGTAGTCGCGAAATTACTAATATATACATTATAAAACAAGCTGAACGAAGATTTGATTTCAAAATGGATTTCTACAATCAAAAAAAGAAAAGTTATACAGTATTTAAATATATTGATTGGTTTTTCTTCAAATCATTATATATTTTTACTTTCACTGTTTAGGGAGTTCAGGAAATAAAATTAAAACGGGAACATTGCATTCTATCTTGCAACTTAAAGAGAAGGATTTAACATTTTCTACATACAATATTAATAATAACAAAAACGTTTCTTCCGACAGTCTTTACAAGAGAGTTTCAAGACCCATGTTTTACTCTTGGAGACGCAAAATATATGCCCGATAAAATAGTAAAATAAGAGGTGAACAATTGCACTATCTAACAAAGATTCTGTTACGGGGTTTCATTAAATGTTATTCAATGGTATAAGAGGAGCTGGGGATAAGAGACTGATACCTCAAAGCTTAACTGACGGACTAAGGTACAGACAGACGGACATCCTGATCACTATATACCCTCCACTTTTCAAGTGGGGCAATAATAATGGCATGTCAAATTGTATGAAACCTGCTTTTAAAACTGACATAAAGATATATTGTATTTACTATTTTTGTTTACAATGCTCTTATGTTCAAAATTTGATTTGAAAATGTTCACTTTCTCTGATAAGCTTATTTGCCATTAGCTTGTCACGGTTTTTTTCGTAGAGCTTTTTTATATCAACGAAGGGAATCTCCATAGTTATGCGGGTGAAAATAGTATTTTGCTGCAGAAATGAGGTAGGTCGTCCATAAAAAATGCAGGTAATAACGTTTATCATAAAGTTTTGTAAGGTATTAGGGTACATGTGTGTACAGTCAAAATGATTTAACCATAATTATACTTTTGCAAATGACCAACAACTAGGTAAGTAACTTCAACTTAAAACAAGCTGTTACATGTAATAATATCACAATTGGAGTTGGGCTTAAATATATCGTGGGAAATTATTGAAAAAGGTATATTTAAAAATCCTTTTTTTTCTAAAAGTTCCTCGCAGATTTAAGTATCCACGTTTTATCAACACTTCTCGAATAATTTATTTTACACTATTCCTGAGGTTTTTCCTTAACGGCTTTTAATATTTTTACATGGAGTACAGAAAGAAGCTTAGAAGAACACAAACTAGAACCAGCCGTGTATCATTTATTCATGTCCTGCAAAACTGATATGAACATACATTGGACTCTAGTAAATAAGGAAACGCTTTATAGACATGTGTTTTACAGGATATAAATGCAACATATACAAAGAAGTTGTACTCAAATATCTTCAATATGGAAATATTGAATTATTTCTGTGTACTTTTATTAATGATTATGATAGATCCTAATATTTAAAAAAAATCTATAAAGGAAATTCGACATACAATTTAATTAAATTTAAAAAGTTTCTTATAATATCAGTTACTGACTTTCTCCTTTTATGGTTATGAAACAATTTTTTTTCATTATAAACTATTATTTCATATTATGACTAGAATGCAGCATAAAAGTCAGTGTCATAACTAAATATTAGGAATGTTTCAAGTTGACCCAGGAAGGTGCAATAATAATCAATATCCAATAATGAAAACCTAATCCAAGTTATCATAAGAAACACTTGATTGTGTTGAGACCGACTTATTTCATTTGTTAGGATACAGAGTATATCAGAAAACTGATCTGGAATACTCTTAATGAATGTTCCAACCACCTAATTAAGGCATAGGTCTCCGAGTAGATGTGCTAAGTCAACAGGGGATGCTTATCCCTCCTAGGCATCTGATCCAACCTCTGGAATTTCCAGGGATTCGTGTTTTATTACTTCTTCAAAGACTTTTATTGCTTATAGATATTTTAATCTGAATAACTGTACGTTTTCGTAACCTTTATAATCACTTTATGAAAACATATCTGTGGGGAATGATTTGACTTAAGTCATACGGTTTCATTATGTACAAATGGACTACTTATAACATCAATTACATTCCTTAAAACCTACATAAAATTACGCGTGTACCCATTTCTTACACTCTTTTCTTTGAGGCATTCAAATCATGCATTCTGAAGTCGGGGACATAAAATGAAAGGTACCATCGAGTGTGACTATAAACTTGACTACTCCTAGTGTATGTCTATGGATAATGCAAACTACTCTGTGCATGACTTATACATGTGCAACGTGTACACTACTCTGCGTGTAAAGAATATGTATTAATAATTTCAATAATTTCTCACAAACAGTGACCTCATAGACATCATCATGCTAACTTCAATATATGAAGCTCTGCAGCACTGCAAGGAAATGCAATATACATATACTAATATTTGATTTAAGCTCATAGGCATGATTTCTGATCTTATTAACTCTATTATTTGCAATGATTTTTTTGTACAACCTCCAAAAACAATAAAACAAGATATGTTTAAAAGTGTAACAATGATTAATTAATATTTACAGTATACATATATTTTCACATTAAATGGAATGAAAGTTACCACTGGTTATCTAGGATGGGAAAGAACTGCTATGTGATTGCTGTAGATGTAAAATTTCATCAATTTATAACCATCACGATCTAAGATACATGTAAGACAGACTTCTCCAAAAAGCCACTATGATGCCATAAAATCAATTAACATTTTCATTTCATTCCTAAGTTTTTTTTGTGACACAACATCATATCGGTATGATACGGCCTATGGATTATTCTTCATAATTATATATTTAAAAAAGGTTGAGTAAATAAAGAACATACATGTATTTAATTCCGTAATTCCAAAGCGTATTCATATTGGAACACCAGGACTCTAAAGATTACATAGAAGTATCAATGATCATTTCAATATTTTTATTATATACATATGAGGATACTTGAAATGGTTTGTAGAATCAAAATATTTTTTTTTACAAAAACAAGTACTGTTAGTATTCATTAGTAAAGATTTTTAAAATCCTAATATTTATAAATGGTAACGATCCTTCTTTTTATTTTTTTTTTAAATTAATGCTGTCAAAATAATTTAGAAAATCTAATTGTATATTAATCTGGTTTGCTCAGACATTGATTTTTGAGTACATGTAAATGCTTCCTCAAGACATGATCTAGACACATGTGCATAACGTTCTATGCAATACTGTAAATGTAGATATATGGTACAGGAAAAATATACGTTTAGATACACATGTGTGGTCTTGTGAACAGAACACTGTAAATATGGGAGAAACTCGTGTATATTCATGATATATAGGAAATTTAATACCATGTGTTATGGCAAATACATAACAGGAAACAGAAGTATCACTGTTTGATCGTGACTATAAATTGTTCTAATGATATTAAATCTGCAAAAGTTTGAACTTCAATATATAAAAAGGAATCGCTTTTATTGTTTTTCCCCGTTATTTTTTTCGTTGCTAGAAATGTATTGCCGGTCTTTCATTTATTATATGAACATTTTATTTCTACATTATGAGTCTTCCAATTCGCAGTTATGTGATGGGTAATGTATATATAAATTATTTTTCATCTTAATCATTTAGCAAAACTGATTAATTTCTGACAGCCTTTTGTATAATTATCCAAATACTGTAGAATTTTTTTTTCTATGTGGTATTAATTTATGCTATATACGCAATTAAAAATTCCCCCCAGAAATTGTCCCATTGTACTCAATATACATGTAAGATATATAGTGCTAAAAATAGAAAATCTGCGTAATATTCTACCCGCGGATTAAACAGAAATAGATATTTTGCAAAATTACTACCCTGTTGAAGAAGTCTATTGTACTTATGAAAAATAAATGATAATTACTATTAAATCATACCATGCATTAAAACACAAAAGAAATTGATAAGTGATTTTAATGTCCAGAACGATTTCAACTTCTTAAACAATTTAGGAATTTATATGCACATTCTATAAATGTGTCTGCGTTCAATGTAATGTTTACTAGTATGTTTAAATACTTTTAAAAATCGAGAATATTGCAATTACAAGGACAGTGAAATGCAGATCATGAACATATGGGAAGACAACAAATGACAGAAAAACAATAAGGTAACATTTATCAATTTATACGAATCCCTGTGTACAGCTAGAAAATGGACAGTTTCTCAAGAATAAGAGTCAACACCAGCACAGGATTACATATCAAATTTGCCAGCATTGTGAAACAGAGTCAGCTAGAAGCGGGTAACCCCCACCCTCATTTGGCCAGACAAGCTCGCTTGGAAATCCACATTGAACCTCACCTAATCTGAGAACATCGGCGGTTATACCCCAGCGTAAATTGGTCTTAATGTGAAGAGCCCTCAAATAGGGAATGTCACGAGGACGTCGGGCTTGTAAGTGAAATCTTGATGGTTCTTAATTGTCTGGCCACTAACTACCAAACCAGTATCTCTTTGAAGTTGAGACTTTATCTGATTTGATGTAACCAGGCAGTGCACGTGAATCTGTATGAGACTTGGTTGTTGCCCTTGGTCGACAGGATCGGGGTCTATCCTGAAAAGGCCCTGTAGTTCGATGTCTAGACATAATCCGCTGATAACAGACTGGAAAACATTCATTGCACTAGCCACAGCCACCTGTCTTGTGCCAACCTGTAATGTAAATTCTCATCCTTTGTTAGACGGCGTATGGTATCTATTTTAAACGACTTCAACAACTGTTACACTAGGTGCCTTCAACTCAGAATCTTTCTTTAACCTTCCAATTCAGAGGCATGCAAATTTGTGACACAACAGCCTTGATCATCACTAGCGCTCCATGCGGATTGTGCGAGTGTGATTTATATGTTTTGATGATGAGTTAATTTGGAAATGTTTCCTCGTTAAAGAACTATGCAACATGATTTCGTATCCCTTTGTTTATATGAACATTTTGATCACTATCTACAGTATCCCCTACGTTTTTCAGTATTATTATACTGCAACGGAAAATGTTATCATGAAATAAAATTTGTAAAAAATATTTAATTTGATAGCATAAAACAAATTCTAGTTTTAACTAATGAGAAAGTTTCTATATGTAAATATTTCCATTTCCGATTGTTTTCCCTATGATAAACACTACAAAAGTGAATCTTGTTAATTTCTCCATTATTCCTGTGGCATGTAAATTTCTCTATATTGAAATACTACTGAAAGGTCAAATGTCAACCTGCATGTATACGTATGATACATGACTGGCGTATAAATACACTGAAGAAAAAATAGATGTTTTGTTTAATTGTTTACTAAGTAATTAGATATGATATATATTATTACAAACAAAATAATTAATGAATTATTTCCGGATCAAAAGCAAGTCACCAGTCCACTATCACCGAGGCGTCGCGAGACCGAGAACTCCACTTCCGTAAATATGGTAAACAGCCCATCTGAACCACGTGGAGAAATCGGAATCGCCACATAGATCTGTACTTCATCATCTTATACAGACATCGTCCCTCAGTCATTACCATCCGATTTATTGAGCAACTCAACTTCCTCTGTTATTTCAACATCCACACAAATCTGTTTCCTGACCATGCTGACCAACTTTCGTTTCATCAACTGCAACATTGCATTCAATATGGGGGCGGAGAGGACTCCAAGTGCTTCCGAAAACCTAAATCTAGGTCACATATATAATTAACGTTAACAGGATTGTTTTCATCATAATTCAGAATTCTTTTGTTATTCTATAAATGTTGATATTTGGCTACAGTAACTAAATAATCATTAAATTTGGTTCGTGTTTTATGGGACTATTTTTTTATAGTAAAATTTGACATATAAACAAATTCTGTATTTCAAATCTACTAAATTAAACTGTATTCCGGTTTATTTTAAGTTTTTTTTTATAAAAATGTATAAGGAATCTTATATATTCAAATTAGTTTCCCGCTATTGTTGATGCCCTATATATCCTTTAATATATAAATGGCTGACCATATATCTTTTGAGAGAAATGTATAAGTATCTATATACACAATATAATGCTTAATTTTTTTCTAGTAACTATTTGAAGACTGTTCTTATTATTTTTAAAATTGTTAAAAATCTTAACATGATGAAGGAAGTATGCTTTAAATAGCAGTATATTGTTCAAAAACAGATTTCAGTATTAAATTAAAAAAATATAAGGTATTCAGTCTGAGAGTTATTCAAAGATGAATTTCAAGAAAGTATACAACACTTTTCATAGGAATCGATGCTGTAATGGTTTTATCTGGAACGATACATTGAATGCATGTATAAGTAAGTATATCTGATACAAAATATGTCAAAATCAAAATTTTTGCATCTAAATTAAAAAAATGTAACCTACATTTTCCGCCATATTCAATAATAGAGTGTAAAAATGGTTTTATCAGATCTAAGTATTATATAAACATTGTAGAATGTAGGGGTGGTTATTATGGGATTCATTGCAATATTTCCTGTCGCCCACCGACGTTTGGCTGGTATTGTCTTTCAACATGCAGTTGTATAGAAGAGGAATGTCATAGTGTGTATGGATGCAGATTTCCATCTGGTAAAATGGCATTTAATTAGATTTTGCTCTTTTATGATATGAATAAATTTATGCAGTAACATTTACATGTAGTACATTCAAATATATTACTGCCATGCAAATTGGGTATCAATCGACTTTACTTTATTCAAAAGTTTTTCTGCAGTCTCTGCAATTTAAAAAAACACCTTTTTGTACTTCCATACGTAACTAAATGATCAGAAAACTTCAATATAATAATGCGTAATGCAACATTTACCGGACTGGAATTTGTTTTTTTCTAGAATCTATTTGATTTCCTGTAAGAACCTTAATTGGAGGCATTTTTGATCACATATGTGTTCAGTTTGAATGGTAGACAACGTACAGAATACCTTAATGTTTAAATATATTTTTATATATCAGTTTCATCCTCAACCTCCCCTTGATTTTGTATCCACCTCTCCCACTCACTGAGTTCATATAGCATTTTGTGAACCATTAAACTTTAAGCAAACGCAGACTACTGAGAAATTGTGATGTATGAAAAATGGAGACAATGAAAAGTATGCAAGCTCAAAAGTCAACCCATACAATACAAATCAGAGGTAGAACAAACACAGACCTCTAAAATGTCAGAGGTGGGGTCAGGTGCCATGGAGGAGTACCGGGAATACGCATTCCTTGACGACCGTTTTCATCCGCGCCTTATGCTCCTTGTTTTTTGAAAAATCCCATTTGAAATTCGTATTACGGAATTTCTAAGGTCGATATTTATAGCCATATTCAGCATATCATTTGGTCGCATTATGTCTGGCATGTTTCCAGTTTCCAACCATTTGTAGCTCTATTTATGTTTATAATATTGTGTAACAAATTTTGTTTTGTTAAGAATGTTACTTAAAGGTACTGTATTGACAATAAAAAGGACCTGTATATTGAATTATTATTTTTTTTTGTTAAAGCCACACAAAT